GGGGGGGGGGGGGGGGGGGGGGCGTCGAGCAACAGGGACAGGACGTAACACTTGCTGATACAAACAGATACATGCGTAGGCGTTGGTTATATCTGTACAGTCACTGGAGGGGTGTGTGTAAATACATGCCGACTGCTCACCAAAACCTCCTGTGTTTGTGTTCGCGGGCTGCCCCCTGTGCAGCGCCGAGCCCCCCTCTCAGCTCTTTCAGTAGCGGAGTGAGTATGAGTGTGTGTGTGTGTGTTGTGTTGCATCTCGGTGGTAGGTGTCTGAAGTGTCACTGCAAGAGCAGAGTCGCAAGGTTGTCACACCACTGAAGCCGCCGCGGCACGTATCCGTGGGAGCGTGCGTTACCTGTCGATTTTCTGCCAGAAAAGCAAATGAACTTTGTGTTTTGTGATATTTAACGGGCTGTAAAACTCCATTTTTTGGTCTTTTGTATTTCCCTAAGCCAAAAAGGAAAAATGCATTTAGGCTTAATAAGAAGCATGACAACGCCGTATCGAGACTTGATCAAGAATTAATCAGGCGCTCAGCGAAGGGAAGAGCTGGTCCTCCGAGGGTTGGCACAGGCCGCGAAAGAGAAAAGCGAGCGTTTTGGCTCCTCTCAGATGATATTTCAAACGCACTGGCAAGGAATTTATTTGTGTTCTTAAACGGTCATTACTTGGTTGTGATTAGATATTGCCAATCAGTGTGGGGGGAAAACACAAGAGCCCTCAAAGAAAACTTGGAAACAAGAGCCTACAGCTAAAATCCGGGGCATGTGTTTGTAATTGTCATTTATTGTCTTCGCCATGGGAAAAAGAAACGTTTCCATTTTTTTTTTTCCCCCAGCAGGCTTTGTGGGCACCGAGGGTATACTTTGAATTTACAATGTGTTATTTATCTGCCTGGGTCCTTTTCGATGCAAGAATGTCACATAAGGGACAGGCCCTGTATCACTGACAGGGAGACAGATGCAAAGATAAACCAAAAAAAAAATTTATTTAATCATAATGGACACCTCTAGATGTCTCATTTGTTTGAGGAAACACTGTTGACGTCCACTGTCAATTCCTGAAATTTTCTGCTCATTCGACACATTTTTAATGTATCTTCCAAAAAAATTCAGATTATCTAAGATTTATGTTTTTTTTTCTTGCCTCAGTTGAGTAAAAATATTTACAACTGTGTAGTGTTTATATCTGCGTTGTGTATTCTCTTTTATCGCTGAGGTTCGCTGGGTCGAAATGTACACTGTATGTTGAACGTTCAGCCCGTGAACGTTGATCGATGCTGATGTGTGAACCCACACAAAGCCGTATAAAACCCCCCGGTTGATAAGAAACACATTGAGAAACATCAGTTAAAAAACACGTTCGTTCCTCTTACTTACAGTGGAAAAAATGTACTCAACGTCTTGAATTTCTGCTTGTGTTTTACCATGGTTTGGTTTCAGTTCCTTACATAGTTTTAGTGAACTCGTGCATTATTTGCCTCTGGTTTTTCGATGGCCACCATCCAACGCTCGGATTCCTAAATATCATCATAAATAACAAGAAGCATGTTTATTATGTTAGGAATTGTGTTTGAAAACGTTTGGACAGCACTGTAAAATAACTGGCACCGCGCTTGACAGTGATTAAAGATGTATGTGGACGATGGTCCGCTTCAGGAACACTGAACTGAACGAAAAACGAAACGAAGCGCAGCTAACGAAGGTTTTTCTTAAACGCGATCTCATCTCATCTCTTCTCATCTCCTCCTCACTTTTCGCAGTGGATGCTGAGGAAGTGACTCCACTGGGATCTGAAGGAGAAGATGAGGTGGGCCTGTGGAGCCTGGAGCCTCAGGACTGCCAGGAGAGCCTGGACAAGACGAGCCTGACGCCCAGCGAGGAGATGGAGGAACCCGGCAGTCCTGCCCGCTCCACGCGCCCGCACAGCCTCAGCCCTGGTGGCAGGACCTACTGGGTGCAGGTGGAACCGGAGGCGGAAGGGGCCGAGGACAACGGCGCTGCTAGCATCGCTGATAAGGACGGAGAACACGATCCGCTAAGGATGTACTGTAAGTCGGCGGTCCCCAAACGACTGGTATCAGTCATTACTGCGCCATTGTTGGAGATTTTCAAAATAAAACATCTTTTAGACCTTCTTCTGTTAGTATCAGAGTCTGAATGACCTGTTGATTTGAAGGGACATTAAAGGGATATGACTGGATTTTTTTGGAATTAAGTAAATTAGTAAAACTGAAGTACATTTTATCACTGTGTCCAAATGACCTACGGACCAGCACAGGTCCCCGGACCGAGGGTTGGGAACCTCTGCTGTTAGTCATAGAGTTGTCTACATTTGTCTGCAGGGTGTACTGCATTAGTGTGTGTGTGTGTGTGTGTGTAAACAAGTGTGCGGTGTTTTTCTGATGCAACTCCCCTGCAGTCCCATGATGCTCCTCAAAGCCCTGAAGATACAGCTTCATATCAGTGTCCTAGCGAAATGAAGGCTTTCCTGAAAGCTGTCCTTGTGTTTTTCACTCTTCTCTTTGAAACAAAAAAAAAACACACACACACACACACACACACTCACAGCCCTCTGAAAGCATGACAAAAGAACTCATCCCACACAAAGTCACAATATTTCCATGCATCAAAGAGGTGACGTTACGGTACTGAAATCAGCAGTGTGCGACGCGAAGGCTTTCTCTTTTATTTAGCCCAGATCAAAGGCGCTGCGCGGCTTGCCTACTAACAATCACTTAGCTCCTTGCCTCGTCTGATTCGGTCTCTCCTGATGAAGGCAGAGCCGGAGTTTTTACAGCACGCAACCGCACAGGCTCGTCCCTTTCGCCACATAAAAAAACAGCTCAAAATATGCCAACATCTGCAAACATTTGAAAAATCTTCCTCAAAGTCACTGCGAGTAAATTTGACTGCGATAGGAGACACCCTCGCGGCTGCACATTGAGGACATCTGTGGCTGCGTCCCTGCCTCCCTGTCACTGCAGGGACAACCCAGCTCCCTGGATTAATTGCCGTATTTTTCAGTAAACAATTTACTTCCATTAGATTCATGGCGCAGTGTCATTTTCTCCCTGCTGTTAACTTATGGTCGGAATAAAAACGCACAACGGGGGAGCGGGGGGGAGAGAGAGAATATCTTTGGACTGTAGGTTTTACACAACATGGCGAAAACAATGTCTGATGCAGCCAAAGCTGAAGGAATATTCTAGAAAATAATCCAGATCGACCTAAGATCTTGAGCGAATAAAAAAATAATTAAAATGTTTATGCGTTAAATTAAATTAACTTTGTGTATTTTTTGTGTGTAAAAAAACAACTTTAATTGTAATATGTTAATCAGATTTTACAACATACTGAGGAAATGTCAGTTTTGAGTTTGGACAAAAACACACTACCGATGCCACCTGTTGGTAACAGTCAAAAAAAAATTTTTAAAGCAAAAGAAAAAAATTTTTTTGAGCAAGTTTGGACAAAAACACACTACCGATGCTTAAAGCAAATTCTTAAAGCAAAAAAAAAATTTTTTTTTGAGCCATTTAAAATTCTTCAAAGGCTTTTTAACCTATAGCCCAACACAGAAATCAGCACCAACATATGACGTCAATGGTTTGCTTATATTCCCATATCAACTCTCTTGTTTTGTTTTTTCGACACCAATACATCAAAGCTAGCTTTAAAGTA